TTTTTATGAGAAACTAATTTACGCCGTATATATTCATCGCAGAGCTCTGGAGTTAGTATAATATATAATTCCCTTGCAATCGAAGCTTATTTTCTTCGGATAATGAAGGATAAAATTATATTTTTATGTATTATAAAAATAAAATATAAAATTTGTTGAAGTTTGGCCACTACTTTGACCAACAGTTTTTCGACTCTTTATTTCATATTGGTAGGATGTGGAGTGTGTTCGATTACTCTCACTATCTTTAATGTAAGCATACAAAAAAACAATATTATATATATATATATATATATATATATTTATAATACAAAATGTTTTACGAAAAAATATAAATACAAAAGATATAATAATAAATAATATTAAAAATAAATAATAATAAATAACATTCCATTCAGTTTTTTAGTACACTGTCCTGGGATAATATATCAAATTCAACAATCTTGCTGGGCATTATAGGTGTACATTTGTATTATATAATTGTGGGAAATGTTGTCGGGCAGGAGCTCATAGATACTAGTACTGGTATTAATAAGAGTATGTAAGTATTAAATAGTTTTATAATATAACTTTCGATACATTTCTATAGTTCTTGAGATTTTAATGGTCGAAGAACCAAACATAAATAAAATTAAGAATGTACCACATATTTTTCTATCTTGTTAAATTAAATATTATAAAATTCGAAAATTCTATTATCATTTTTGTAATCGTTTAAGCATATTAGAAAAATCACGATTAGATTTTTATATTCGATATTATATAATATTATCGAATAATATTACCAAATATTTTAGAATATCGAATAAATATAAGTAATCGTAATTTCTCTAATATGCTTAAATGATTATAAAAATTATAATTAAATAAATAACACAATTTGCACAATCTTGATGCACAAGTAAATGTATCGTGTAATCGTAAATAATAAACAATAAAACAAATGCAAAATGTATAATTTATATAGTAATAAATATTCTAATGTCATTATATTCCAGTTTTAAATTAAGCGTTGTAAAAAGAAATGTTTTTTTTTCATATAATTTTTATTATAAATTTTCCCCGTGTATTAACAGATGTCATACGCAGTGGTACGCAGCGCCTTTATGGATGCAAAAATCAATGTTGTTTGTAATGCAAAGAAGCGACAAAAGGAGTACTTTAACTGCTCTATATTTATTTGATGCATCATTAGAAGGTTTGGCTACGGTAAGACAAACATTGCGAAAATAATATTGTCTAGTGCAAAGTTTAATTGTTATTTAATTATTATTAGCATTTGATTATTGTTACATCAAAGTTATTATAAAAAAATATGTATTACAGCTTTTAAGTATGACCATGTCTTACGTTATGCTGCTTCAGTCAGTGGGATCGTAACGACAAAAGTTAAAGTAATTTAAAGAATTTAATTCGCAGATTCAGAGAATGCATCCAGTGCGTATTATATTATTCTTTATACACACACACCAACGCGCGCGCGCATAGATACATATATATATATACTAATAAAATTAAGTTATAGTGATAAAGTACCTACTTATTTTTCGAAATTCTTCTCATTGCATGTTACTTACCCACGTGCACGCATACACATATATAACTCACATTCTTTTACACACATACCTATACACTTGCGCCTAACACATGCATTAGATGAAAATATTTCATTCTCTCATTCTTTTATTTTACATTTCTACATTATTAAAGATCCTATACATATATCTTATTTATATAGAATATAATGTTTACTTAATTTTTTTTAATTAATAAATAAACATACATATTTTTCTAAAATTAATAATAAATAAAAGTTTTTTGTTCAGAATAATGTATTTGACAGTGATATCAAATGACAGTTTTCGCACACTGCAATTTTATTTAATATAGCACTGTAAAGGCAATTCAGAGGAAGGCAAAATTGGTATATGTATGTATAATATACATATTATAATTAAAAATAAGATAGGAAAGTTAAAGAGTCTCACGCAGTGACTCGAATCTCTAAACTTCGAAAGATTTTTTGAAAATAGTGTATAAATTTTAATGAAAATTATGACAGTGTTCATTTAAAAAATATTATCTATCATTCTCTACAGGGTGTCCCATAATTCGCGAATCACCTTTCATGGGCAGATAGAGCGTGTTAAACTGAATAGAAAAGTCCTGTATCATTTTGCGATATTTGCAATAATTATTGAGTTATTAACTAAAATATCTAAACGAATGAGCGGGTAGAAAGCGATAGGCCAGACTCGGTGTGTATGTCGGATGACTTATTTGTTATATGTCGCTTAGTATCAAAAGTATCATCTTACTTTTCGGCGCCACTACATTGGTCGCCGCTCGCTGCATGATGCCGCCTCTCGATCAAATAATGCTACCTGCTTATTCGTTTAGATATTTTAATAAATAACTCAATAATTATTGCGAATATCGCAAAATGATACATGAATTTTCTATTCAGTTTAACACGCTCTATCTGCCCATGAAAGGTGATTCGCGAATTATGGGACACCCGTATATGTTCGAGTCTTTAAAATAATTTTGATAACGTTTATGCGTGTTACTTTTTTTTATTGGTATTTATGTTTAAATAACATAGCAAGTAAAATTCCAAATATTTTAAAAATGAAATTAACTTGATTTTATTTTATTTATTCTCTTATCTATAAGAAAAAAAAAATAAATCATATATTTTTATTAAAAAGCTAATATTCTATTAATATTTTACTACCTTTTTAAATAAATACTAACTAAGATTATATTTATGTTTAATAATTACGCTTAATTTCAAAATTCGTAAAATTGTTTTTTGCTCCATAAAGACAAAAATATTTTTTAATTAAAAATTTTTAATATTAAATAATTTTGTTAAATAATTAATGTTTTATATTTCCAAAATTAAACTTTTCTTAAATAAAAATTGTTCACAATAAATGTGGATAATGTTTACTCATATATTAACATACATTATTTAATTATATATAACTTCAATATGTATTGTATATCTAGATAGATAAGAAGGCAGATATAATTAAAAACATGTTTCTAATATCTACAATATATTGCATATAATATGTTTTTCATAAAATAAATATTTATTAAAATTGTTTAATATATGTAACTAATTATGTGGATGAAATGTGCATGTCCATTTCAATATTACCTACGTGTATGTCAATATGATTTTTATATATATGTAAAAGTTCAAATTTATATTATTATAATAAATTATCAAATTCTCAAATTTCTAATATAAAAATAATATAAATAAAAAGAGGTCATAAGAGATATCTTGAAAGAAATAACATAATTCTTACTACAATTCTCTGTTGATAGCAGGAATTTTGTTAATGATAATAGTAAAATAATAATATAATTTTATACACATAATATAATAATATTAATTATTTTTCTAAATTATTATATTGACAATGTATATCAAGAACATATCGAAACATAGATACACGTGTATCATGACAATGCATTATTTTTACTATTAAAGAAGTCTTCAAAGAAGTAACATAATTCTTATTACAATTCTCTGTTCATAGCAGGAATTTTGTTAACGATGATAACAAAATAATTTTATCATTTTATAAATATAGAATTTTTTATCCACAAAATGTTTTGTATAAATATTGTAATATTGGAAGTGTATGTGTGTATGTGTTACATAATAATATTATCTCTCTAAATTTTATAATATCGACAATACACAGTGGAAGAATATATCGGAACATAAACACATGTGTATCACGACAATGCATTATTTTTACTATCATGACAAGATTCATCTTTTTCCTTTATAAGCCTAATGTCAACAATATTTTCAAAAAAATTAATTTTATTCGTAGAAATGTATTTTTATAAGAAACATAGAGACGAGTATTTATTGTTACTAATAACTGCACATACACATTATTTGCATTTTTACCTTAATACATTTCACTGTTTGGATCTTGCTTCTGTATATCAAAGTACAGTCTGTCAAATCGCAAATATTCGAGGCGCGCACAATTTCGCCGAAAATTTCATTAAAAACTTAGAAAGCACAAACTCACATATAACAAACACTTCACCAATACATTCTACACCATTCCATAGCACAATTCATTTAAGATTTCCCGAGCAAACAGAAATTTAATCCTTAACGAACACGCTGTTTGATATGACGCGCTAACACGGTAAATGCACAATATTTCGCGACAATGAAGTAAAGACTACTAAAGCAGGAATACAGTGCTGTATAGCGAAGTTCCTCGCATGACGGTTCATGCAGTATTGAGGGAAGCTCCGCGAGGGAAGAGCGGCTCTCACCCTTACGCTTGCGCTGCGCCGCGACATTGACGTCCACGCCGACGCAGACTATGCATTGTAATATCTTATAGCTGGCTCTTACACATACATGCAGAATTTTTACACGACTTCCCTCATATAAAAGTTTTTCCCTATCTCTATCGCAATACATGTGTAACTTCAGAATAATATGATACAATTTTTTTTATCGTCAAATTTTACAATAATATACCTTGACATATTTCTTAAAAAGAAAAATATAAATTAAGATTAAAGCTACTCACTTAAATATATTCTGCGCTCTTAAAATATTTCATAGTAAGCTCATTATCCATCGATATCTGATTATTAAATGTATTTTAAAGCTGCTCACATACTTCAACGCGAGACACGATTGACAATTCGATGAGCAATAAAGAAATATAAGTATACGCCGATTCGCGGTATAAGAAAATTACTTCTGACCGGCAGCATTCTAAATTGCGCAGATTATTAAATTTATCTTCTTGTGTCATTTCCGCATGTTCAAATGCGAATAATGGACGCGAGATACAGATAGAATTTTAATCTATTTTTTAAGCACGCGAATTATTTTGCAAATTGTCCTGTACTTACAGTCTATATTTTATATTTATTTCGACAAGCGAGATGCAGCATAGCGAAAAATACGATAGGTTCAATAAATAGGGAAAGAGAAAATCCGCGTAAAGATAGTGTTTTTCATTTTTCTGAACACAAAAGTACTTTGACTGGCGCGGAGAGATGAACTTCCTTGGAAGTGAATACTATAAACTCAATCGACATCTATTACTCCTAGTCGGTTTGTGGCCGTATGATCATTCAATCTTTAAATATTTTCAAATAATGTTATGTAACATTACTATAGCAATTATGATGGTTAACCAGGTAAGAATATTATACACAAATCTGTAAATAAATCTGCTAATATTATATACTTCTAATAAAGCAACATAATATGTCCACATTGTTATTCTATACAAGAAATTATATTTTTCATTAATCTGATTCGAGATGCAATTTGATTGCTTTAAAAGTTAAAAATTTATACATATATATATATATTAATTCACTCGTGATTCATGCTTTTAGATTGCGAAATTAATTACGTTAAGACGAAACATAAACCTTATGATAAAATTTCTTCCTCCTGTTGTAATATATTTCATTTATATTATTAAATATCAGACATTTTGTATCGTTGCCAAAAAGGTGAGCCGATGTATACATTGTACAATACATTGTTATATTTTACATTACGTCATCTTTACTTTTTTTTAATATATGAAAATTAAAAATGTTATGTATTCGAATAAATCGCGTTCTGTGCTTAGTTTCCCAATATTTTTATTATGTTATAAAATGAAAAATATATTTAAAGTATTTTACATAAAACTTTTTATTTCTTAAAAGATTTTCAGATTTAATATAACTATACTTGAAAATTTATTTTGCGTAGATTTTCTATTTTGTTTGCACGAAATTGAAAACATTTACAATATAATAAATTTATTGATTTGTAAATGTACAAGATACAGATCTTTTATAATAAAAGTTGAAAATATACTGCCACTTTTCACTATAAAGGATGACCAAATTTATTCAAGTATTTGAATTTTTATACCTCTTGTGAACAGATAAGATATCTCGTGGATCATGTAGAACAAGATTGGAATATGCTTAAAGATAAAAAGGAATTGGAGATCATAGAGAGATACACTTATATTGGAAGTATGTGCACCTTGGGTTTTACAAGTAAGAAATACAATAAGTAATTTACTGGCTTTTAGCAAACGTAACACACAATTATATTGTACATAAAATCATCTTTTCATTATTTCAGTACTTGGCTGTATGGTTCTATTAATTAGTTTTCTTTACCATTTGTACCAACCATTCTCGATATTTTTGTGCCACTAAATCACTCGCGTCCACGACAATTATTGTTTCCAGGCGAATACTTTGTCGATGAGCATAAGTATTTTTATGTCATTTCTTTGCATTTTGATCTTACTATAGCCATAGTTCTTTCTACTCTGATTGGTACCGAATCGTTATATGTTACGCACGTACAACATGCTTGCGGAATGTTTCAAATTGCCAGGTAAAAGATAAAACTAAATTTTGCGCATTTTTGATGTATTAATTTTTTTGGCATATTTTATGTTCAACATATTGATAGATTGTTATATATTTTATTAATTATGTTTTTTATGTTTTTGATATCTTATTTCAATTGGAGTTTTTAATTAAATTAATTAATTAAAATTTAAAAACGTGAATTTTTTGCAATTTACAATTGCTACCTGCGTAGTTATCGATTGAATCAAGCGTTAGACAACAAGTTTTCACAAGCTTATACGCCTGAAAAGCAAACAATCATCGTTTGTAAAGGAATAATCGAAGCTGTACACATTCACAAAAGAGCTATCGAGTCGGTATAATGCATTTTATTACTAATTTAAAACAATGATATTTTTTATACATCAGATTAATACATTGTAATATTATGGAATCTCCGTAATTATAATATTAAATTCAAAAATCTCCGAAAACTTACGCAGAGTTGAAAATAACGCACATTTTATATCGATGATCATTTGATAACAGGTCTTCTTTGTTTTTAAGATTTTCCGAATTCCTATGGTCTACCTTGGCAGTATCATACAGCATTATGCTTATATTCGGTATTACATCTCTTCTTATTAATCTTTTCTGTGTAAGTAATATTTAAAAAGAAATTTTTTTAGATATTTGTTTTTTCTTATTTTTTAAGCATATTTAATATGGCCGAAATTGTACATATCAATAAAGATAATAATCATTTATATATAAAAAAAATAGTACTTTTTTTAATAAACTTTTTTTATATTAGCCACTTGTAATACTTGTAATGTTACTTCCTATAAAGTTGTATCTATTCCAGCTTTTTCAAACAATACTATTTATAAAGGAGACAAATGAATTAATAATGTTAATTGTATTCAACATTGGTCACTTTTTTTATTTATTTTTGGGTAACTATGTTGGTCAAATTTTAATAGATCATAGCGCTGGTATTTTTGAAAACACGTAAGTAAAAATAAAATTCAAGTATATTTCAAATTTCAAAAAGTTTGTAAAAATTTCTGAAGATATTTTCTATAAACACATTTAAGTCTTAGAATTCCTAAACATAAAGCACAATAAACGATCAAAACGAAAGCAAGAAAATAAATATTTAACAATAACAATTAATATCAACAAAACATCTTACAGCAATTGAATATTAAATTAAAATTTTAGTAAAATACATGCATTCTATATATAACACAAAGAAATACGAAAAATAATTTTGCATTAAGCTAATAATATAAAATATAAATTATGAATGAGATATAAAAATTGATATTCGGGTAAATTCTTAGATATATCACGCAATGGTACGATGCTCCTTTGCAAGCGCAGAAGTTATTGCCGATGATAATGCAAAGAAGTATGAGAAGTTGCAAGATGGTCGTGGGCGGAATGTTTATTCCATCATTCGAAGGCTTCGCTGCGGTAAACATTACGACATATTAACTATTTGACTATTAACGTTAATAACATTATATAGGTATAGGTATATTGACGTTACTAAATATTAATAATTATAATTATTAATATGTTATGTAATAACCTATTTTTTCTTAAACACTCTGCTCTTCTGCCTAATTTAATTTGCAATAATTTGCTATTAAGAAGATTAATAAAAGTTGTAGAATATAATCTTTCTTTTCTAACGTAAATCTTGTATTTCAGCTCATGAGTACAACTCTGTCATATTTTACAGTACTTTGGTCCGTACAGAAGTAGTGTCGTTAAGCAATGAAAATTTATCATAAATTAAATTTATAGTTAGTAAATCAGTAGTAAAATTAATATAATAAATTATCTGACAAAATATTTTCTCTTGACTTTGTAATATTCTATGAAAAATATAAAGAAAGTAATAAATTAAATATCAGTACCAATGAATTATGTCGCACCAATTTCATTCTTTTTCTTTATTTTAATTATTTACTAAAGTTAATTATGTGTTTCACCATCATTATAATTGGTAATGAATAGTATACACAATAGTTATTCATTTATAATTAATTTTACGTCAACAAATGTGCTAGATTTCTATATTTTTATAAATTAAATATTTTTCTTGATTTTTTATCTGATATTAATAATTAAAGTTTACATAAATTAATTAGTTAATATTTCCTATTTTGCGTTATAATGTCATTTTTCTTTTTTGTATTCTTTTCAAGTATTAATATTTTTTTGCAAAATATATATTAATACGAACACATTGGTTTTTCTTCTCATTTCCATTATAGTTTTCTCATATGCTGTACCATTTTTCTTACATATCATACAATACTATTCGTTTTATACTAAACTCAACGAAGTAAGTTGACTTTATAGTCTATCATTGCTCCTCGAAAATATTAATTTACTATTTCTATGTTTTTCTTACAAATTATGGTTTTTACACTTTTTAATTATTTTAAAAATTAATTATTAAACTATTTTACATTTTTGCTCATTAGCACACCTTGGCTTAAAAACTGCATTTTTTGAGTTTCTAATGATAAAATTTTTACGCTAATTTAAATACAATAAAATATAGTAGTGCAACATAGATTTCAAATTAGTATGATGTATATAGACCTTACTTATACACTTACATTAACGTGCAGGTATAAAATAGTTAGAAAAAATTTTATTTTCTTGCCCTTCCGGACAAGAGATATTATCAGGTGTTGCATGTATACTTTAGATAATACCAACCCATTTTCTGTCGCGCTGAATATCGGAGAGATAATCGATCGGAGGGGAGATATAGAGGCTTTCTTCGTATTCCAGGTGCAAATAATTCTGCAATTATTATTATTCACGCTATTGTAATATCTAGCGCCTCCCCCAAAAGGGGAGAAAGAGGTTTTCATTGTCATTGGAAACGCATATAATATATAAAACACATACACATTCACTTGCGCCAAAGTTTTATTTTGTAAAAAGAATATTTTATATAATGAAAGTTTATATAATTTAAAAATAAGTACACTCTGTTAATTAATATTATCACAATTTTTCTTGTTTCTTAATATAATTACATTGAGCTATTCGCATGAACGATTACAAAATAAATATTTTCTTTTACTCGATTTGATCTGTATAAATATACATATATGCGTGATACACTTTGCCAAAAAGAATTTTAAGAATTTGTGAGTGATTTATAGGTGAAGCGACGAGTAAATTATATTTATGAAAATTGGAACGTACTAAAAGATTCTAAAAAAGTTGAAACAACACGAAGATATGAGAAGTTTACGAAACGAGTTACGATAATCTTATTTCGTAAGAAGTCATTTAAAATAAATTTCCTTGATATAAACAAAAGTCATTTTTACAACTACAACTAACTATTAAAGCAGTCTATATTATATAACTATTTTTTACAATACAAGTATTTTTTAGTGTACACTTTCAATGATTTTGCTACAATTTATTTTCTTTTATATAATATTTTTCAGGTATATCTCGAAAAAAAATATAAAAAAATAATTATCTTTTTCATAACTAATTTAATGGATAAATTCGCCATGACATCCACTTTAGCAATACCTAACATTCATGCGACATCTTATTCGTATAATGTTCAAGATTGTTAAGAATTTTACACATTTATATTGAACATTTTGTTTTATGCGAATATCATCTGATTATGACAATAAATGTTTATAATTATCATACCGAAAATTCATTGGAAGAGAATGTTTTATATCGAGTGTTGTGTATGTCGATTTTTCAAAAAGAAAAACATATATTGATGTATATTAATGATTAGAATAATTTCACCATATTTCGTTATTTATTTCAATAATTTATTGTAAAATAATAAATAATACAATTTACTTATAATACAGAATTTATATTTTTAAGAATGATTTATTTTACCGTTATTTTAAACCATTGTTTTCTTCGTGTATATTACAATGCACAACCAAACAGTAAACGATCCGATAATAGATATCGGATTTCTTTGCAGTTTTGAAGGTCCGCTGCGTATGCTGAATATCATTCAGTTTTAAAATATCCTATTTAGTCGGGAACTCTCGTTGGTCAATAATTTATAAAACGTGAATGATGTAGACTAATTTAACAAATTGTGCACAAATATTTTATTTTAATGCTAATTCCAGACGCTACAAAACATGTTAATTTTGAATAGCATAATTTTAAATAATCTATGGTAACTATTTTTATTTTATTCTATGGGTTTGTTCTCTGTTCCTGCACTAATAAACTAGTGCACACTGGTGCAATAAGTTAGAGTGAGACAAAATATACATGTCTCATTCTAACTTATTGCATTAGTTCATTAGTGTAGGAACAGAAAACAAGCCTTATATTTCATGTTTTTGTCACGAGAGTTATGGACAGATAATTTTTCACTCAATCTTTTATAGCGCGAATATGTTAACAGCATTGCAAATATACACAAATTATAGAAAATTATAATTTCGTGTTTTATGTATATAATTCGTATAATTAATAATAAAGAATAAAGTAATATATCATATATTTTAACTATGTACAATAATGAGTAGAATTTATATCGCACACATAACGCTAATTTGATCATAGACATATTATACAACTTTTACTTTAAAATTCTACAATTATTACTAATTTTTCTACGTAGTATTATACTTCTCTGCTTTCTATAGAAATTTAACGGGATAAATAATACTATTTATCAGAATCATAAAAGATAAAAAAATTTTAACTTACAAATAAATTTGAGAAAAATACAAGATATGATTAAAAATCAATGCTTCATTAACATAAGATTAAAAATAAATATGTATCTATAAAGAACATGTTCATTGAAAATTCATGAGGACAACGAGTTGGAGCATTTCTGAGAGAATATTATGGCGAAAATATTTCGTAAAATAAAAATACCAAAGATGAAAATGTTGCATATGATTGTCGATTATATCAGACAAATATATTAATTATCATCCTTTGCTACATTTATTTATATTGTTTTATCTTATTGCTTTGTGTTTTCGAAGAGTGCGTCATGCAATTATACAAAAGACCTTTTATAATATAAAACCAAGTTATGATATTTTTTTCGATGTCTCTTGAATAATAATGAAACGAACGAGAAAATTGTTCGCATACAAAATTATAGTACAAATAACAGATTACATATAATTATACATTAAAGAATTGATTATAATTTTCTATCATGTTAATGTTAATAACGATTATTAGTTTTAAAAATTATTACATGACTCACATTTCTACGACATTGTTATAAAAAACGATGTAAGAGAGAAAAAATTACATTGTGAATAGAAAAAAAATATTTTTACAATGATCTCGCAATTGAGTTTCGGTATTCGAAGAGAAATGTTCTAAATATACATGTATGTAAATTATTATAAGTATTATGATTTTGTATGAATCGAATGTGCTTCTGAGCGAATTACAATCCTTCCAGAAGTCAATGTTAGATGCATACATTTTTCTTCGTTCTTATATCTTTCATTTATATATGCTTCGAGTATTGATATAACTTTGTACTCGCAATAATATAAGAGCAGCAATATGGAAAATTAAAAATAGATAAAAGATAAGCATCGCGTTAGCACTTTAACGAGCACGAGTCACTTCATATATTGTATAAACACAGAATTGGTATTTCGGTTTGCGATAGTTGCGAAGTGATATTTCATCGTTACAGCTCATACTACAAACCTAGTAGTAAGTGTTATTGATCGGTTTCTTCCTATGCCGTGTGCTCTAACTATATATGACATCTTCTTTCACGACAAAACACAAATTATTCTTGCATGCATATGTTTATGCGTGTGCATGTGTATATATGTGTGTGTGTTTTTGTATATTATATATGCATCGTATCTTTTTCCTTCAATTTCTGATTATATGTGTATGTGTGTATATGCGACATAGGTTTTTATTGTTAAACTTATTGACAAGCACATAAATTGCAAAGACACTGCTATGATATGAGATACTACAGTTAGCTCGATTCGTAACCAACTGATGAATCTTCCAAAAACTATAGTCTTTACACTAACGTCAATAGTCTTTACACAAGATAGAGAAAACATATATTTCTAGAAAAAAAGAGTATAAGATAATGTCGCTAGATTATCATTTTCGATAATATTATCTTAATGCCTTATTTTCATTCTATAATAGAGCTAGGAAATTGAGAAAAGTTTATTCTATTTTTTTTAATTTACGTTTATCCCCTTCCCTTAACTGGGTTTCGTAAATTTCTCCTACTGTTTCTAAGGCAATAACGATGTCCTAAAAATTATGCTATGAATTGAAAGAAGAAGAATCCATTGTATATGTTTGATTTATATACATAGAGAAGAAAGAACAATTTCGCTTTCTTGATATATACATCTTAGCTTTCACCCGAGATGGACTTCGTTGGAGAACGATACTATAAGTTAAATCGAATTTGTTTGTTGTGTCTTGGCCTGTGGCCTGATCATCCGTATTCACCCTTGAAGAAAATTCAAGTAATCTTTTTTGAAACATTATTAATATCCTTCCTGCTATGCGAGGTATTATAAAAAATTATTCTCATTTTATTTTATTTATTTGTATGGAAATTTAAATAAAGATATGTATTGAATATAGATATAGATTAATCATTACCTGTATTATACGAGATTGACGACAATAAATTTCATAGAAATTAATATTTGCTCACAATATTTCCTTATTATAATCTTACACTGAGATTACTGCTTTTAGTTCAACGCATTTTTCACATTAAAACACAATATCAATATAGTCTTCAAATTTTCCATGTTTGTTGTTCTTACCGTTATTTTTATTGTAAAATACAACGCTTATTTCTTACTTACCCATAATGTAAGTATTCGCCTATTTTCAATGTGTTTCAAGATTTCTTCATATAAGCTTTTTAATATTTGTCTACTATTTTATTTGTTTTTAAGTTTTTGATAAATAACTCTATATATAATTTTATTATTTGGCACATTATAAATTTTATTAGATACAATTTTAATATATGAATATAATAAAAAAGATTCAGGCGACAAAGAAGGAGCTTAGAGATTATTTAGCTTAGAGTATATCTTGTTATTAACTAAAACAGAATATTTATCTTATTTGTTTGCAATAACAGATACAATATATATACGATAGAGTTAAATACGATTGGAACATGTTAAAGACTCAAACCGAACTGAAAATAATACGAGGATACGCAGATAACGCAAAATTATGTACAATCAGTTTTATATGTAAGAATTAAAACCAAATGTCAATTGCATCAACATTCAATTTTTTTTGCGACAAGTTATTTTTATGTCACTATATCATCATTAAATTAATTCTTATAAAAATTAAATTAATTCTTATAAAAATTAAATTAATTCTTATAAAAAATTAAAATTTTATCAATAAAATTTTGCGAAACTTAATTTTGTAACTTTTAATGATAGCTTATACTCATCTAAAGTACTGCATATTTTTCCATCGTGCACTAGTATTTTTTTAATGCATTTAAGATGTCTCTAAGGAGTCATATTTTTTTTTCATTTCTTATGTAATTGTGATATTTTATCGTATTTAATTTTTATTTTTGTTAAATATATGTGCATAATTTGCATGCTTCAGTGTTGGTTACTATCTGTATGCTAGGAATGTACATATTGGTCTGCATACCATGCATACTCGATATAATCGTACCAATGAATGAATCACGACCGCGAGGCTTACCAGTTTTAGTAAAATATTATTTCATTGATGAAGAAGTATACTTTTACACTTGTTTAACACATATTGTCATTGCTTTGTACGCTGGTACTATGATAGTAGCGGCTATCGCAACGTTACTCATAGCATACGTACTCCATACCTGTGCCCTGTTTAAAATTGCCAGGTAAGAGCAAGAGCTGTTTTTTTAAATCTCATAAGTACATTTATTCTGAAAATAGGAGAGAAATCGTTGGAAAAAATAAATAACACCATGTACTTTCATAGTTACCGAATGGATCACATATTTGACGAAAATGTGCAACAAATGTCAAAAAATCTTAAGGAATATGTTTTTCATGAGAAATTAATTCACGCCGTATATATTCATCGCAGAGCTCTGGAGTTAGTATGATATATAATTGCCTTGCAATCGAAGCTTATTTTGCTCAGATAATGCAGGATAAAATTATTCTCATATATTATAAAAATAAAATATTACAAAATTTGCTGTTGAAGTTTGACCACTATTATGACGAACAGTTTTGCGGCTCTTTATTTCATATTGATAGGACTTGGAGTGTGTTCGACTAGTCTCAGTATCTTTAATGTAAGCATACAAAAAACGATATTATATACATATATATATATATATATTTATAATAAAAATGTTTTACTAAAAAATATAAAAACAAAAGATATATAATAATAAGTAATATTAAAAATAAATAATAATAAATTACATTCTATTCAGCTTTTTAACACATTATCCTTGGATAATATAATAGATTCAATATTCTTGATGGGTATTATATTTATCCATTTGTATTATTTATTTGTGGCAAATTTTGTTGGGCAGAAAATCATAGATACCAGCACTGACATTTGTCAGAGTATGTAAGTATTAAATACGCTTTATAATATAACTTTCGATACATTATAGTTTTGGAGATTTTTATGGTCGAAGAGAAAAACGTGAATAAAATTAAGAAAAAACTAATGTAATTTATAATTTTTATAGTAATAAATATTTTAATGTCATTATATTTCAGCTTTAAAGTAAGTGTTATAAAAGGAAATGTATTTTTCATATAATTTATTTTATAAATTTTTATTCGTGTATTAACAGATATAATACTCAGTGGTACACAGCACCTTTATGGATACAAAAATCAATATTGTTTATAATGCAAAGAAGCAACAAAAAAAGTGCTTTAATTGCTGGACATTTATTTGATGCATCGTTAGAAGGTTTGGCTACGGTAAGACAAACATTGCAAAAGAAATATTGTTTTAAGCAAAATATTATGAAAAAAATATTTATTACAGCTTTTAAGTATGTCCATGTCCTACGTTATGCTCTTTGAATCCATACGAGCGTAACGACAAAAATTATAGTCATTTAAAGAATTTAATTCGCAGATTTGAAATGCATCGAGTGCGTATAATACTCTTTTTTATACTCGTACACACGCGCGCGCGTGCAGATACATATACTAATAAAATAAATTTATAGTCATAAAATACCCACTTTTTTCGAAAATATTCTTATTGCACGTTACTTACCCACGTGTAGCCACATACATATATAACACACATACATTTGCACACACATACCCATAAACAGTAGATGAAAATATTATATTTTATTCTCTCATTTCTTTTATTTTACTCTTCCGTTTTATTAAAAATCTCATTGATATATGGATATAGAACATAAAATTTACTTAAACTTTTTAAATTAATAAATAAATTAAAAAAATGTTTCCATAAATAATAATAAATAGAAGTTTTTTCTTTACAGAATAATGCATATGAGTGATATTAAATAACAGTTTTTGCACACTGTAATTTTATTTAATAATAACATTGTAAAGGCAATTCAAATAAAGGTAAAATCGATATATATATATATATACACGTGTGTATATGTATGATGTACTATATGTATACGAGTATGTGTATATAAAATTAAAAATAAGAAAAGAAAATTAAAGAGTCACACAGTCTCTAAACTTCGAACGATTTTTTAAAAATAGTGCATAAGTTTTAATGAAAATTATGACAGTGTAATGTTAAAAAATATTATTTATTATTTTCTATATGTTGGACTCTTTAAAATAATTTTTATAACATTTATGCGTGCTACATTTTTCTTATTGATATTTATGTTTAAATAACATAGCAAGTAAAATTCCAAGTATTTTCAAAATAACATTAATTAACTTGATTTGATTTGAATTATTCTCCTCTCAGTAAGAATAAAATAAATCACATATATTTTTATTAAAAAGCTAATATTTTACTAATATTTTACTATATGTTTAATAATTGGGCTTAATTACAAAATTCGCAAAATTATTTTTTGCTTCATAAAACAAAAATATTTCTTAATTAAAATTTTTTAATGTTAAATAATTAATCGATTTAAAAATATCATATATCGTTAAATAATTAATGTTTTATATTTTAAAAATTAAACTTTTCTTAAATAAAAATTATTCACAATAAATGTGGAAACTGTTCGAGTATATTGTATATCTACATAGATAAGAAAGTAGATATAGTTAGAAACTATATATACCTATATGTTTTTAATATATTGCATATAATAACTTTTTCATGAAATTAATATTTATTAAATTTGTTTAATATATGTAACTAATTATGAATGAAACATGCATGTCCATTTCTATATTAGCTACGTGTATATCAGTATTTATATTTATATTTATATATATATATATATATATATATATATACGTAAAAGTTAAAATTTGTATTATTATAATAACTTATTAAATTCTTAAATTTCTAATATAAAAATAATATAAATAAAAAGATGTCTTCAAAGAAGTAATATAATTCTTACTACAATTCTCTATTCATAGCAAGAATTTTGTTAACGATAATAACAAAATAATTTTATCATTTTATAAATATAGAATCTTTTATCCACAAACGTTTTGTAAATATTGTAATATTGGGAGTGTATATGTGTGTGTTACATAATAATATCAATTGTTTCTCTAAATTATGATATCGACAATACACATCAAGAATATATCGGAACATAAACACATGTGTATCACGACAATGCATTATTTTTACTATCATGACAAGATTCATCTTTTTCCTTTATAAGCCTAATGTCAACAATCTTTTCAAAAAAATTAATTTTATTTGTAGAAATGTAATTTTTATAAGAAACATAGAGACGAGTATTTATTGTTACTAATATACTGCACATACACATTATTTGCATTTTTACCTTAATACATTTCACTGTTTGGATCTTGCTTCTGTATATCAAAGTACAGTCTGTCAAATCGCAAATATTCGAGGCACGCACAATTTCGCCGAAAATTTCATTAAAAACTTAGAAAGCACAAACTCACATATAACAAACACTTCACCAATACATTCTACACCATTCCACAGCACAATTTATTTAAGATTTCCCGAGCAGACAGAAATTTAATCCTTAACGAACACGCTGTTTGATATGACGCGCTAACACGGTAAATGCACAATATTTCGCGACAATGAAGTAAAGGCTACTAAAGCAGGAATACAGTGCTGTATAACGAAGTTCCTCGCATGACGGTTCATGCAGTATTGAGGGAAGCTCCGCGAGGGAAGAGCGGCTCTCACCCTTACGCTTGCGCTGCGCCGCGACATTGACGTCTACGCCGACGCAGACTATGCATTGTAATATCTTATAGCTGGCTCTTACACATACATACAGAATTTTTACACGACTTCCCTCATATAAAAGTTATTTCCTATCTCTATCGCAATACATACCTACATATGTGACTTCAAAATATGATACAATTTTTTTCATCGTCAAATTTTACAATAATATAACATACATATATAGATAACAAGTCTTCTTTCTTTTTAAGATTGTCCGAATTCCTATGGTCTACCTTGGCAGTATCATACAGCATTATTTTTATATCCGGTATTACATCTCTTCTTATTAATCTTTTCTGCGTTTCACAAGCTTATACGCCTGAAAAGCAAACAATCATCGTTTGTAAAGGAATAATCGAAGCTGTACACATTCACAAAAGAGCTATCGAGTCGGTATAATGCATTTTATTACTAATTTAAAACAATGATATTTTTTATCAGATTAATACATTGTAATATTATGGAATCTCCGTAATTATAATATTAAATTCAAAAATCTCCGAAAACTTACGCAGAGTTGAAAATAACGCACATTTTATATCGATGATCATTTGATAACAGGTCTTCTTTTTAAGATTTTCCGAATTCCTATGGTCTACCTTGGCAGTATCATACAGCATTATGCTTATATTCGGTATTACATCTCTTCTTATTAATCTTTTCTGTGTAAGTAATATTTAAAAAGAAATTTTTTTAGATATTTGTTTTTTCTTATTTTTTAAGCATATTTAATATGGCCGAAATTGTACATATCAATAAAGATAATAATCATTTATATATAAAAAAATAGTACTTTTTTAATAAACTTTTTTATATTAGCCACTTGTAATACTTGTAATGTTACTTCCTATAAAGTTGTATCTATTCCAGCTTTTTCAAACAATACTATTTATAAAGGAGACAAATGAATTAATAATGTTAATTGTATTCAACATTGGTCACTTTTTTTATTTATTTTTGGGTAACTATGTTGGTCAAATTTTAATAGATCATAGCGCTGGTATTTTTGAAAACACGTAAGTAAAAATAAAATTCAAGTATATTTCAAATTTCAAAAGTTAGTAAATATTTCTGAAGATATTTTCTATAAACACATTTAAGTCTTAGAATTCCTAAACATAAAGCAGAATAAATCATCAAAACGATCAAAACGAAAGCAAGAAAATAAATATTTAACAATAACAATTAATATCAACAAAACATCTTACAGCAATTGAATATTAAATTAAAATTTTAGTAAAATACATGCATTCTATATATAACACAAAGAAATACGAAAAATAATTTTGCATTAAGCTAATAATATAAAATATAAATTATGAATGAGATATAAAAATTGATATTCGGGTAAATTCTTAGATATATCACGCAATAGTACGATGCTTCTTTGCAAGCGCAGAAATTATTGCCGATGATAATACAAAGAAGTATGAGAAGTTGCAAGATGGTCGTGGGCGGTATGTTTGTTCCATAAAATAAAATTTAATTAGATTAGTCATTATCCATTTTATGTATTTTGAACAAAAAATCGTAAATGTTTGAAAACTTTAAGATATAAAACTTATAATTACAAAAAGTCACATGAAACCAATGCAATAAATTCATATATGGTAATTATATATGTAAATAAATTATGTTTTTCCATTGAAAAAAGATCGATCTGAATCGGTCCCAACAAATAGTATATTCCTTTTAATCTTTACGTCTATGGTTTCCTATAAAGTATAATACTACAGACGTAGAATATTTTGAATTAATATAAACAAATCTGTAAAATTTTTTTCTTTTTTTAAATAAAATATTACAAATATGTTCTACTTACATTTTATTTGCTGTGATTATGAAACAAACAATAACCACTGGTACAATCTATTTATATTGCGAATTTACTTTAATTAAATGAAATGAAAATAATTATATGTTAAATGTATTTTATAAATTTTTATGGATTTTATAGCGATTTTGGCGTATATATAATGATCAAAAATTGATTACTCATTCTTACTGATAAATGATGGTATTGCTTATTAATTTTGTATTTTTCTAATTCATGTAAACATAGTATAGTATTGCATTATGTTGTATTGTAGACGTAACAATTGAATATTTTTTTTATATTGATTATAAAGATTATAAGATTATAAAATGTATATATCCGAAGTATATACAGAGGATGAGAGAGAGAGAGAGCTTTTTTATAAATTACAATGAGAAGAAAAGCATTAATAAAAGATTATTTAAATACATATATTTAACAGAGATACATGTTTTCAATAAAGAAATACAATTTTGCACGCACACGAATGTGCACGCGCACATAGAAATATTACCGTTCTGCATGTCACAACTAGGCAGTACAATCTGATTTAAGAACTTTTGTTTTTCAGAATTGAATATCTTAATATTTTCGGTTTTTAGTTAATATTGATATATAAAAATTTAAGTATATAAAACATGTAAATATAAAAATATTAACAAAATTTTTAATTTGAACTTTACACGCACAAAATACTTCATGAAAGTATTACGTTGCGTCGTTGAACCATTCACATAAATATGAGCTCTCTAGAATAATACTTGTTTCATTTCTCATTGCGCTTGCGTGAAAAAAAAAGAAAATATTGATACGTAAGGCATAACTGAAAATGATAGCAATTTTACTTATTTTATATCATTATTCTTAATGAGATAGGTGTGTATCTCTCTATAAGTAGATATAGACACTTATCTTATATGTACATATGTATATTTCTTTTCGGAGAAATAAATCGCGCAGGTTCTTATTATCTTATCCCCCTATTTATTTACATTAACATAAATATATCTTAAAAATTCAAGTCAGACAAAAGAGTTGACAAAAGAAAAAAATAATCATTGAAATCGCAGTATAAAGAAACAAAATTTCTATAGAACATTACATATGTACTATTTGCATATTCAGTGATATTTGAAACGTCGTCTCAAAATGGAGTTGGTACAGTATTATACACTGAATCGCAATCTTTTATCATCACTCGGTCTTTGGCCGTATGATAATTTCAAAGTTAGGCAACTTCGTTTCATACTAACACTATTCATAATGGTATCATTTATTAGTAGTCAGGTATCTATAGTATTTACAGTACAATATAATTCTACGACACGAATGTGTTCTTAAACAGTATTATACTTCACTATAATAGCATATATTGATACTGTGGTAACTTGTAAACTTCTATTTAGCCTTTTATTTTAAAATCATTCTTTATTGCTATAATATATATTCTAATATTAAATATGGTGTAGATACTACTACTTGCTGCTTTCAGTTGATGAAATTATTTGTCTCGGAATACGACTTGGATCTTTTTATACAAATAATTCCTTTCAATATGATTTTTATAACATTAGTTATTAAATACATCACAGTTTATGTTATTACAAAAATGTAAGTCTACAAGAACGATTTAATTTATATAATAAACTGTCATGTATAATAATATTTATCGTATTTATTAGAATAGATGAGAGAATTCCAGGACCGTCTTCAGAATAACTGGAACGCTTTGATAGACAATCAAGAAATCGAGATAATACGTAAACAAGCGATCATTGGAAAATTATTTACGCAATTTCTAACAAGTAAATGTCAAATATATATATTTACAACTAGTTACTAGATTCTGAATTAAAACTTTGTGATAATTAATTATTACTAAATTATTATATAACTCAAAATCTAAAAATGAGACAATTATTCTTTATAATTTCGGATATACATATATTCGGAAGAAAATTAAATTTAAAATAAGAATACATTAAATTACTAATTGCCGGATATATATTACGAAAACTTATAATATTTTTATAACTCTTATTTATTGCAATGTATTGTATATATTGTATATGTTTTATTTCTAATATGAATAAGATAATTGCAGATTTATCGAATCAATTTTAATTATAATTTATGTAGATTTACATTAATTTTTAATCTAACATCAAAATTTTCTTGGATAAATGTGTGTGTATTCATGCGTGCATGTGTGCATATGCTTGTGTTAGGTAATCAGTAATTCTTAAATTATAATTGTTAAAAGATGAGAATTTTGAAATATTCAATAATTAAGTATTCGAATTACATAGAGAGATAATAAAATCTCCATCATTTTTATTTTAATTCTTTTATTTTTAATTTACGATTTGTCAAAAAATATTAATATTAAAAATTTAAACTTTGTTATATATACGAATAATTTTAAATTAATTTCAAATTATAATTTAATTTCAAAAAAATCATAAATATAACAAAATAAGCAAAATAAGTAATTGATAAGTACAAAATAAGTGATTTAAGTACACAACGAAAAATAATTAAATGTCTTTATAAACAACAATTGTCTTATTTCTAAGAGATAAACTATACATAGAATTGAAAATATAACTTTTATTTAATCCAATTAAAAGTTTTTGCTAATTATATTCAATTACTGCAGTATTTGTTACAATAATTAATAATTACAGCATTTATTTATAAGAAACAACTATTATTTAATTAAATATTGATGATACTTTGATCACATTCCAGTATTTGCATGTAGTGCACTATTCGTCAGCTTTATTATACAATATATTTCAATTTTACTCGATGTTATAATACCTTTGAACGAATCTCGTCCGCGTGAACTCCTGTTTCCGGTAGAATATTTTATCGATCAGCAGAAATACTTTCCTATCTTAACAATACTCACAGGAATTGGATTTATAGTTTCCTCAATGAGTGCATTAGCTACCGAATCATTTTCATTTGTAAACGCATTACATGCTTTTGGATTATTTAAAGTTGCTAGGTAAGTGCAATTATTTTTTTTATTAAAGGTATTTTAATATTTTTAATTTATTCATATTTCTATTGAAAGTTTAATATATACAACAATTAAAAATAAAATATTTTATATATATATATATAGTTGCATTTTTAAATTAACAATTTCTCTCTTTTTTAAACTATATAATAAATTTTCTTATGATTATAATTAATATTTATTCATACGTCCGATTTATTAACTTTATTAGTTTAAATTAATTCTATTTATTAGTATTTTATCTAATTTTTATTTTTATTATTGTGAGATCACTTATATAATTTAATATGCCATCGATATTTAATAAGATAATGCAGCTCTTTAGAGCATTATTAATAATTATAAATTTTATATATACAATATATGACATTTAAATTCTTTCAGTTATCGTATGAAACATATATTATTAAGCCAAACTAATTTTCAAATATGTACAACTAAACAATATATTATATCACGTCACAGAATAATCGCTGCAGTGGATTTCCATAGAAGAGCAATTGAGTTAATTACATTTATTTAAATTAAAGTCACTTCATATACGCAAATAAACGAAAGTTTAAAGTTGGTTTTACCATATATATGTATATACATATATAATTTATATATAGTTATATATATATATATATATATATATATATACATATATAGTTTATTTATTTATTGTGTTTGTATACAAATTTAATCTATACATTTTAACTAATTTACATTTAATTGCACACAACATTCATTTTATGCGATCTAAACATGATTTTGCATGTATGTATATTTAATTTAAAAATTAATTAAGATTTAAAAACTTATTATTATTAACATTAATTATTATTAATATTATATATTGAGTATATGATATAATATAATAAAAATATACGTATTTTTGTTTTAAGATATTCGGAATTATTGAAAAGAAGTTTTGGGCCAATGTACTTAATGTATTTTGTTGTACTGGTATCTTCAACAAGTATTAATTTATTTAACGTAAGTGAAACAACAATTAAACATAAAATATTATATAATAATATTCCTCATTAAATAAAAATTATAATATTTAAAACAATTATTTCATAGAACTGACGCACTATTGTTTACAGTTACTTCGAGCATTAATGTCAAATAGAATATTGCATGTGTTTAAATCTCTCATATTTATATTTATATATATTCTA